GAGAGAGAGAGTGTGTGTGTGTGTGTGTGTGTGTGTGTGTGTGTGTGTGTGTGTGTGTGTGTGTGTGTGTGTGAGTGAGCGTGTGTGTGTGCACGAGTGTGTGTGAGCGTGTGTGTGGTTTATGAGGACACAAATTTGTATAATAACATAGGTATGACATAGGTATTACAACGAGAAGGTGATTTATGAGGACATTTTCAGTGTCCCCGTAATTCAAAACGCTTATAAATAATTCAGAATGAGTTTTTTCGAAAATCTGAAATAGCAGAAAGTCTCCTGTGAGGGGTAGGTTTAGGGGTAGGGTTGGTGTAGGGCAATAGAATATACGGTCTGTACAGTATAAAAACCATTACGCCTATGGAGAGTCCCCATAAACCATAAAAACAAACCTGTGTGTGTCACGTGTCTGAGGGGTTGGTGTGTTTGTGCTGCAGGAGCACGATGGAGGCCGTTCCTGCCAGTCGTCTGCGGGACGTCCGGACTCTGGCGCTGCAGGCGTGTGTCATCGGCATCGACGAGGGACAGTTTGTATGTTTCTGTTCAACTCGCTTCAGTTATTGTTCAGCTCAGTGACACACTTATTAACTGAGAGGCTTTTGCAGTTTCCAGACACAGTTGAGTTCTGTGAGGAAATGGCCAACATGGGAAAAACCATCGTAGTAGCAGCTCTTGATGGAACCTTCCAGAGAAAGGTGCGAGGATGAGGGATCTCTGTTGATTCTTTACCCCATATACACTTTATATATATATATATATATATACACACACACTGGTCAAAAGTTTGGGATCAGAACTATTTTTATGTTTTTAAAGGAGTCTCTTCTGCTCCGCAAGGCTGCATTTATTTGATCAAAAATACAGGAAAAAAGGTACTATTGAGAAATATTATTATAATGTAAAACAGCAGTTTTCTCTGTGAATATGTGTTAAACTGTGCTGTATTTCTGTGATGCGCAGCTGTATTTTCAGCATCATTCCTCCAGTCTTCAGTGTCACATGATCTTCAGAAATCAGTATAATATGCTGATTATTATCAGTTCTGCTGCTTAATATATTTTTTTGGAAGATGAATAAAAAGTTAAAAAGAAGAGCATTTATTTAAAATAGAAATCTTTTCTAATAATATACACTACCGTTCAAAAGTTCAGGGTCAGTACATTTTTATTCTTTCTTTTTATCAAAAGCTTAGAGTCAGTATAATGTATAATTGTTTTTGTTTTTTTTGGGGGGGGGGGATAAATTAGATAAATTAATACTTTTATTTAGCAAGGATGCTTTAAATTGATCAAAAGTGATGATAAAGACATTTATAATGTTACAAATCATTTCTATTTCAGATAAATGCTGTTCTTTTGATCTTTCTATTCATCAAAGAATCCTGAAAAAATTATACTCAACCGTTTTAAATATAATAATAATAATGTTTCTCGAGCAGCAGATCAGCATATTATACTGATTTCTGAAGATCATGTGACACTGAAGACTGGAGGAATGATGCTGAAAATACAGCTGCACATCACAGAAATACAGTACAGTTTAACAGAGATTTACATAGAAAATTTATATTTTAAATTCTAAAAATATTTCACAATTTTTACAGTATTTTTGATCAAATAAATACAGCCTTGCAGAGTAGAAAAGACTGAAAGAAGCGACATTAAAAATCTTACCATGTATAAGTGTGTATATATATATATATACAACTTAGAAAACAGCTGTTTTAAATAGTAAAAATATTTCACAATATTACTGCTTTTGCTGTATTTCTGATCAAATAAATGCAGGCTTCTGAGCAGAAGAGACTTCTTTAAAAAACAGTAGTATTAGTAACAGTAGTGTATTTATAGAAATATTTCTACAAATGTATGCATGTATAGTATTTATGTAAATGTATATATATTTACATAAATACATGTATAATTGTTTATATGTTTTTCTATAATAATAAAATATATATTTATATTTTTGATCAAATAAATACAGCCTTGCAGAGTAGAAAAGACTGAAAGAAGCGACATTAAAAATCTTACCATGTATAAGTGTGTATATATATATATATATATATACATATAAAATGCACATATGTGAGCCTGGAGCACAAAAGCAGTGTTGAGTCGCTGGGGGATATTTGTAGCAATAGCCAACAATACATTGTATGGGTCACAATTATACATTTCTCTTTTATGCCAAAAATCATTAGGATATTAAGTAAAGATCATGTTTCATGAAGATATTTTGTAAATCTCCTACCGTAAATATATCAAAACTTAATGTTTGATTAGTAATATGCATTGCTAAGAACTTCATTTGGACAACTTTAAAGATGATTTTCTCAATATTTAGATTTTTTTGCACCCTCAGATTCCAGATTTTCAAATATTGTCCGATCCTAACAAACCATACATCAATGGAAAGCTTATTTATTCAGCTTTCAGATGATGCATAAATCTCAATTTCACAAAATTGACACGTAAGACTGGTTTTGTGCTCCAGGGTCACATATTTAAATGGTTATTTTGATTATTTCTGTTTATATAAACATTGAGCAGTGTTGATGACCTTCGACCCTTGTGTCTGCAGGCCTTCGGTAATATCCTGAATCTGGTGCCTCTAGCGGAGAGCGTGGTCAAGCTGAATGCCGTCTGCATGCAGTGCTTCAAAGAAGCCGCTTACACCAAAAGACTCGGAGCTGAACAAGAGGTGAGGACAAATATCTCCATCTGGACACACACACGCAGAAGTGAAACCTCACGGCGTCTTGTGTTTGGTTTGCTCAGGTGGAGGTGATCGGCGGCGCTGAGAAGTATCACGCAGTGTGCCGAGAGTGTTACGGAGGTCTCGTGGCGTGTAAAGAGAACTGCGATCCGCAGAGAGAGGAGACGCCGCTGCATGTGACGTCAGGAAAACCGGCCAATCAAAGCGCTCCACGAAAACACTTCACTTCCCTTCATTTATGAGAATAACACCTCAGCCGTACTGTATTACAGGAGCACTGTTACTACACAGATGTAACTCACTAGAGGGAGAATTTAGCACTTGATTTGTATGTTTGCTTGGTTTTTTTTAATGCCTGATTTCCTGTATATAATAACTTTACCTCCTAGTTTAAAGCGGGTCCTAGTTTAAAATATGGTGTTTTTGTATTTTTAGTTTAACCCCTTAAGAGCCACCCCCCCCATTTTTGAACATAGACGTGAAAGTGCACTATCCAAACTTAAATTATTATAATTCATGAAAACTTTTAGAATACAGACCTAAGGTTGGACTCCTTTTTAAGAAGACAATCTGCAGATTACTGCAGAAGTGGAATGATTTCAAAGTATTAAAGTTTTTTATTTTATATAAAGTAAATATTTTTGAATCCAAAATTGATATAAAATTAAAGCGTTGTGTCTAAATAAGTTATGTTCCAAATTTGAAGTTGATATTAAACTTTTTTTATTTTATTTAGGGCGTTATGCCACAAACAGCCACCAGGTGCCATCCAAACTAGAATTTTTGTTGATGCATTTTTCTGTCACGAAGGTCTAAATTTCTCTCAATATTACTTCTATCAAAAAATAACCACCAAATATAGAATCTTGAGACTCGGACCTTTCCAAATATATGTATTTTGTCAAGATTATAAAAACTGATTCTAAAAGACCGTAATACATTTTGTAATATGACGCTTGACTCCACCCACTAAGGGGAGGAGACTGCTAAAAGATTTTTAAGTACCATTTCCATGGTAAAGCCATGTCCGATTTAAAAAATGGTTTTCACATGATGAATTCTGAGGTTTTAAGCTTTTAAATGATATATATAAATGTATGATAATGACTAAATATGTGATAGAGAAAAATTGTGGGCCGGAGGCACTTAAGGGGTTAAAAATGAGTCGATCATTTGTATGCATTTTAATTTAAACTTATTTATAATTGTCTAACAGCAACCAGCGGACACCACGGAACACTGCCAACAAGTGATGTATTATGATTATAATGAGTGAATAAAATTTGATTTGATTTTGAAATGTTGCAAGTTACAACAAACATTTTATATTTATGCATTTAGCAAATGCTGCTTTCAATAGAGAATCAAAAGCTTAAAAATTTTTTGTAATATACAATATCAGGTTTGTTGGATGACTAGATTAGGTAGCAAGCGCTAGAAGTCTTGTTTTCTGTGAAATTGATCAAATTGAAGTGAGTTTATGATTAAAACGAGCAAAGGGCTGGGGAAAATCAACTTATTCAAAGGAAAAACCAGTTTTAAGTTTGCATTCCCTATTGACAGATATGTATAAACTTGTATTTTTCAAGACTTAATTTTACATTTGCATCTCTGGCAGGAGTAGGTTTGATCGTGGCATTGGTGGGACGTAACGGCAGACAACAGACATTTACTTGTTGATCAAAATTATTGCTAGAGATAATTTATCAGTGGCTGATATCGCTGGGAACATGTCATAGCGTCTCTACTAAACTCTACAGCCGTGATCTCCAGTAAATGATTTAAGGAAGTTTAGATATTTGTACTGGAAAAGAAGAAAACACTGAGAAAGACATCAATTCAATGCCATGATTTTATGAATTTTAAGACTTTATGCTTTAAGGCAGATCAAGACTTTTTAAGACCCGCAAATCTAAAAATGACATTTTGTATCCAACGGGTTGCATTCATTTATTTTTATTTAGAATACAAACCGGCGTTTTTGCTTTTAGCTGCACTTAAAGAATTGAAGCTGGTTATTCAGAGAAAACTGAGTTTAAACAAGAAACCGATTTAAATCAGTAACCTGAAAATACACATAAATCAAACATTGAAAACTATTTTTTAAATATATATATGAACATATTCCCAGATGATAAGCTTTGAAATGGTTGGTGTGCAATGGATAAACTTTACCAAATCAATGTTATATGGCAGGTAAAACAGAGATCTGCATCACAGTGTGTTTATGTGGATCAGTGAATGTTTTCATATCCAGAAACCAGATTTAGCCATGTAAGACTCAGTTTTTTTACATTAAATCAGATCTGGAAGCAAATAAAAGCATCACAGATGCTTCATTTACAACCCAAAACCTCCATTGCAGCTTGACTGGATGTTTAAGCATGTAATCTGGTAATTGCACCACATTTCTACGGTGAATCACGCCAGCTCTTCATTCACTAACACAATTAGTAAACGGGGTCAATGGGCTCTTTGTTTCCGTCACATTCAGCTGGGAAAACGTTAACAAACACTGCTGCGATTCCAGTGTGAGCGACAGACCTGCTCCACAATAACACTGCTTTATTTCAGCTCATCGGTGCAAATCTGAACTCATCTACAGTCATGTAAATAAACACTTGAATGTTTACACATTTAAGGCCAAGTGTAAAATGGCAAACGGTCTCCTATTGGCTGCCTGCCGAGGCTCCTCCCACATCCCGTGGCATCACATGACCTGGGTGTCGTGTTTCCGTTTCCGTTTCAGGACGGCTGCTGGTAGACGTCTGGACCGGTGTTCTGGAAGGACGGATACGTTAGCGGCGTGTAGGTGGTGGGATACGGTGACGTGGGGTCCGCCGGCAGATCGGCGTAGTTCTGGGACACATCTGCAACACCCTGACGAAACCTCACCAGAGCGAAGTAACTTAACGCTCCCTGAGAAGACGAGAGATTCAGCTGCCAATCAATGACTTGAAGAGGGATTATGTGGCATTTAAGAAACTTAAAGGGATAGTTCACCCAAAAATGAAATTTCTGTCATTAATCACTCACCCTCATGTCGTTCGTTCATCTTCAGAACTCAAATTAAGATATTTTTGATGAAATCCGAGAGCTTTCTGATCCTGCATCGACAGCAATATAACTGACACGTTCAAGGCCCAGAAAGGCAGTAAGGACATCGTTAAAATAGTGGTTCAATTGTAATTTTATGAAGCTACGAGAATACTTTTTGTGCACAAAGAAAACAAAAATAACGAAGTGCATCGTGGTACTCTCGTGAACGCGCATCAAAAGACCGACACGGAAGAGAAGAATCGTTGAATAAAGTCATTATTTTTGTTTTCTTTGCACAGAACATGTATTCTCGTAGCTTCATAAAATTACAGTTGAATTACTGATGTCACATGGACTATTTTAACGATGTCCTTACTAAGTTTCGGGGCCTTGAACGTTTCAGTTCCCTTGCAGGGTCAGAAAGCTCTCGGATTTCATCAAAAATATCTTAATTTGAGTTCCGAAGATGAACGAAGGTCTTATGGGTGTGGAACGACATGAGGGTGAGTAATTAATGACAGAATTTTCATTTTTGAGTGAACTAATTCTTAATAATAGTCAAGGTTTCTCATAACTTTTGGTTTTTGCAAGACACCACAGGTGAACAGGGTAAATAAATGTGAACTAACAGATATAAATATTCTTCCCACAGTTGATTAATCATTAAGACAATAAGACATTCAATTTTGTATTACAAGGTTTCTGAAATGTTATGTTTAAATATGCACTAATTCGCAAGAAAATAAATATGAATATTAATAACACTGAATATTATAATGCTAGATTCAAAGATTGTTTTATTTGATTGACACATACAGGTGCATCTCAAAGTAGAATGTCGTGGAAAAGTTCATTTATTTCAGTAATTCAACTCAAATTGTGAAACTCGTGTATTAAATAAATTCAATGCACACAGACTGAAGTAGTTTAAGTCTTTGGTCCCCTTGCAGGGTCATAAAGCTCTCGGATTTCATCAAAAATATCTTAATTTGAGTTCCTGAAGATGAACGAAGGTCTTATGGGTGTGGAACGACATGAGGGTGAGTAATTAATGACAGAATTTTCATTTTTGAGTGAACTAATTCTTAATAATAGTCAAGGTTTCTCATAACTTTTGGTTTTTGCAAGACACCACAGGTGAACAGGGTAAATAAATGTGAACTAACAGATATAAATATTCTTCCCACAGTTGATTAATCATTAAGACAATAAGACATTCAATTTTGTATTACAAGGTTTCTGAAATGTTATGTTTAAATATGCACTAATTCGCAAGAAAATAAATATTAATATTAATAACACTGAATATTATAATGCTAGATTCAAAGATTGTTTTATTTGATTGACACATACAGGTGCATCTCAAAGTAGAATGTCGTGGAAAAGTTCATTTATTTCAGTAATTCAACTCAAATTGTGAAACTCGTGTATTAAATAAATTCAATGCACACAGACTGAAGTAGTTTAAGTCTTTGGTTCTTTTAATTGTGATGATTTTGGCTCACATTTAACAAAAACCCACCAATTCACTATCTCAACAAATTAGAATATGGTGACATGCCAATCAGCTAATCAACTCAAAACACCTACAAAGGTTTCCTGAGCCTTCAAAATGGCCTCTCAGTTTGGTTCACTAGGCTACACAATCACGGGGAAGACTGCTGATCTGACAGTTGTCCAGAAGACAATCATTGAACCATTGTGTTGGTGTGCTTGACTGGCCAGCAAACTCACCAGACCTGAACCTCATAGAGAATCTATGGGGTATTGTCAAGACGAAAATGAGAAACCAGAGACCAAATAATGCAGATGAGCTGAAGGCCACTGTCAAAGAAACCTGGGCTTCCATACCACCTCAGCAGTGCCACAAACTGATCACCTGCATGCCACGCCGAATTGAGGCAGTAATTAAAGCAAAAGGAGCCCCTACCAAGTATTGAGTACATGTACAGTAAATGAACATACTTTCCAGAAGGCCAACAATTCACTAAAAATGTTTTTTTTATTGGTCTTATGAAGTATTCTAATTTGTTGAGATAGTGAATTGGTGGGTTTTTGTTAAATGTGAGCCAAAATCATCACAATTAAAAGAACCAAAGACTTAAACTACTTCAGTCTGTGTGCATTGAATTTATTTAATACACGAGTTTCACAATTTGAGTTGAATTACTGAAATAAATGAACTTTTCCACGACATTCTAATTTATTGAGATGCACCTGTAGTTAAAGGTTTTTACAGAAGGGATTTTTGATTTCTCTTTTCATCACTCCATTAACCAGAAAATACTGTCAACAGACAGAAAAAAATAAATGTCACCATATTTTTAGGAATAAAATGTTGTAGAAATCAGTGTGATTGATATACGAACAATCCCCTCAGTAAAAACCTTCAGAATACAGACAGGAATAAAAACTCTGGTGTTTGTAAGTGCTGCTGAAGTGGAGAAAAAACTAATTGAGAAAACGCCTTTAAGCAACTTTAAAGATATGCACTGTAATTGAAATCTACAGACACCAATAGATAAAGTGTAATAAAATAAACACTTAAAATTGTGTTTTGGATGTTTTCTTTCCACTAGTCTGAAAGATGACATGGAAGCAAAAGATACCAAAATTGACCCGTGCATGAAAAAAATGCATTAAATTGTAGGTTTATCTTGAACTGTGGCAGGTTGAAGTAGTTTGCGGTTCACACACACTCACCCACGACCCGATGGAGAAGAATGAGAAGGCGATGGCGGCGTGTACGGCGTCTGTAGGGATGCCGCTGGGGTCTTGGGTCTTTGACCACTGATCCACCATGAGACAGAAACACACAAACCACAGGAACGTCCAGGCACCTGATCAACACACAGCACCGAGAGCACAGACACGCGTCATCCATTAGACAATCAGAGACTCTTCAGACAACACATCAGGCATCTTACTGAAAGAAACCGTTCACACAAAAATCAACATTCTTATTTCACAGAAGGGTTTGGAACGGCATGAAGGCGAGTAAATGGTGACAGAATGAACAAGTGAAAAAAATTAAGTACAGTGTGAATGATATATGAACAAACCCCTCAGTAAAAACCTTCAG